ATTTAATTTCTCTGTGGTGCCTGGCTTAATAAACGCTCGTTGAATGCCTCCTCCCTAGGTCTGTAGATCGCTGTGAAAGGGCTGGTTGGCTTCCTCGCCAGAGGTCGGTCCCCAAATCCCAGGGGCTGAGAGGACGTGACCCGCTGGAGGCTGTTCAGCGCCCACCCGGCTCTTCCACTCCACACCGCGGGTCCCTAAAAGGACAGATGGGCGTACCCCAGCTTCCTCCCACCCTCCCACCCACGCGGTTACCTTTGACAACCACTTCTTTCGACGGAGCCGGCACGGGGTGGGGCGCACTGGGTTTGGGGATGAGGGTTCTGAGGAGTACTTCGAGATCGGGTCCGGCCTCCGGCTGCTTTTCCACCCGGGCCCCCCTAAGGAAGTGCAGCACCTCCTCATCAGCGGTGACGAGGCTCCGGAAGAGATCCTCGCAGGTGAGATCCGGGTCCGAGGAGGGGGCCCGAGGCGCCTCCGGGGACTGCGCTGCCCCGCCCCGGCCCGCACCACGGGCTCTCTCCGGCTCGGCCCCTCGCGGACGCCCCTTGGCCGCCACCGCCCCCTCCTCCGGCTCCTGGGCCTGCTCCCGCGCCGGCCTCCCCGGGGCCTCCAGCCTGGCGCCGCACAGGCGCTTGTTGACCACCTGCGGCCTCTCCACCCATACGGCCACTGCTGACCAGAACCCCTGAGGGAGCCGCGAGCCGCTGTCCGTAACCAGGGTCTGCCCCACTAACCCCATGTCAGGCCCCTCAACCTCGGCATCCTGCAGCAGAGAAGAGGGAGGAAACCATGGCGCGGGAAGATGACGCAAAGCGCCGCTGCCGCATCCCCCGATGGGCGGGAGCAGGGGAGGCGCTGACTTTATACGTCACACCGCAGACACAGGCCCTTCGGCGGTTCCTGCCCTCTCTCCTGTTACGTCACTTCCAGTTGCTTTTCCCACCTCCAGCCTTTGCCAATCCCTGCTCTTCCTTCCTCGCAGATCTATAACCTGAGGTTCTCCGAGGGGAGATGAGATCTACTTCACCCAGTTTCTCAGACTTTAACAGAACATCATCCAAGGCACCTTAGAGATCCTTCCAGTCCAAGCCCCTCACCTATAAAGCAGCCTCTTTGTCCTGTTTCTATGGCATTGCTATGACACCACACCCCCTCCCTACTCAATGAACCCTAGTGGCTTCCAATTGCCTCCAGGATCAAATACAAAATTCTCTGGCAGGCAAAGAAAGCCCTTTGTCACTTAGCCCTCTCCTACCTTTCCAATCTTCTTCCACTTTACTACCCAACATGTACCCTTCAATCTGGTGACACTGGCTGTTCAGTGAACAAGACCCTCCATCTCTGCTTGGCATTTTCTTTGGCTGTCCCCCATGCCTGGAATGCTCTCCCTCCTCCATTCTATTTATTAACCTCCTTGGCTTCCTTTAAGTCCTAACTACAATCCCATCTTCTATAGGAAGCCTTCTGCAACTCCTCTTATTATTTCCAATGCGTTCCCTCTCATCTCCTATTTATCCTGTATATAGCTTACTCTGTATATATGTTTACCTGTTGGCTCTACCTTTATATTGTAAACTCCTTCAGGGCAGAAGTCACCTTTTGCCTCTTTTTGTATCCCCAGTACTCAGTACAGTGCCTGACACATAGTAGGTACTTTATAAATTATTTTTGATTGATTGATTCTGCTAGGAGTTGGAAGCCACTTTAAACTTTTTCTCTTCTGGCTTTGCTCTTCTCCTCCCCCTCTCACAGGACTTTGTTCTGAGCCCTCTTCTCTTCTCCTATGCCCTTTCACTTTCTGATCTCTCTCTCTGTGGACAGAAAGCAGGGGGTGGGGGAAAGGGATTGTGAAGTTGAGACCTGAGAGTCGCAAGTACCAGGCAGGAGAATAAAAGACCTGACTGGCACTAGCCGACAATACCCACTTTCCAAAGGAGAGAGTTTTAGGTGGGGGAGGTTGTTCTCAACTTTACCTCCAAAAAGCAAGGAGTGGCAACACCATCCATAGTTTGTTTTCATTTTTGGGGGTCTTTTTTTCAGGAACTTTATTCTAGGAGTTTAAGTAGTATTTTGATTCTTTCTGTTATTTATTAAGCAAAATTTCCTGAATAATCACTATATGCTTATACTTGAAAATTTAACTTCATTTTAAATTTCATTTTTATGATTTCATGTTAATTATTTTTTTCCTTTACAGTTTGGGATTTAGAGTTGAATACAGTTCAACATTTTTATTACTTTTTAGAAGAACTTCTGTTTATTGACTTTTTAAAATGTAAAGTCATTGTTTATTAGATTTTTAAAGTTGCATTTAAATATATGGCTAGGTGGCATAATGGATAAAGCACTGAATGCAGAGTCAGTAGACCTGAGTTCACATCTCATCTCAAACAATTACTATCTATTAGGCAAGTTACTTAACTTTCTTCACTCTCCTCATACATTAAATAAGGATAATAATAGCACCTCCTTTTATAAGGATATGGTGAGAATCAAATGAAATAATAGGAAAAATGCTTGGCAAAATCTGAAGCACTCCTGCTTCATGTAAATATTATTATACTGTAACATATTACATATAAACTATATTATGTAAATGTTATTATTTTTTCATTTATATTACTTATTTTATGTTAAAATTATATCTTGTTCTAGTTCCCCTAATACCCTTTCCCCTTTTAGTCAGTATAGTAAGTGGGTATAAAGGAGCAATAACAGAAAATAAGATTGCAAAGGGGAACCCAGAAGTCACATCCCAAAGATCAAAGTAGCATAATTTCTGAATTATCATATATTAACCCAAATTCACACCCTAATAATATACTCCAAATCAGGAGAAACCACGTAGGAACTATTTGCTAAGGTTCTGGTCTTATGGTATAGAAATTCCAGACAAAATCCAGACCTCTACAGCTCCAGACAGACCAGCAGAACATCAAAAAGGTGCTGATAATTTTGAGATGACTTTTTAACTATAACCTTGAGGTGACTTGATATGTAAATTAACTACCCAAGTTGGCACAGATAGGAGTTGATCTGTTTCCCAAAAAAATCCTACAAAAATGAGACCTTAAACTCCTGTTTACCTGCTCCCTCACCCCAAGCATTCTTCCACCCCCAAGCCCAACAAGAATTCCTGGAAGAACTAAAAAATGATTTTCAAAATCAAATAAGACTGGTGGAAGAAAAATTAGGCAAAGAAATGAAAGCAAAAGAAGAAATTTATGAAAAGGCAATTAAAAGGCAAAAAAACCTGAAGAAAATAACACTTTAAAAAATAGAATTGCCAAATGGAAAAAGAGGTACAAAAATTCACTGATGAAAATAACTCCTTAAAAATTCTAATTGGGCAACTGAAAGCTAATGACTCCATGAGATATTAAGACACAATAAAACAAAATCAAAAGATTGAAAAAAAAATCCTAGAATAGGGTAAAATAGAAATTGAAAGAATCCACTAATCACTACCTGAAAGAGGTCCAATGACATCACAGGAGTGAATTAGACTTAAGTAAGGCAGAATTGCACAAAGTCATCACCATCATGTTCTCTTCCAGAATCATCAAAGCCCAGTGGCAATACAAAAGTCAAGGTGACTGGCCATGGCCCAGGATGCAGTGGATGACCTTGACGTCTTTGAAGTCTGACTAAGCTCCATTACCTGCCTCAACTGCCTTCAAGGCTGTTGGAACAAATCGTTCTCACCTGCCCATCACCCTAGGGGAAGTCTTCACTTGCTTGAGATATACACCCCCCTAAGTCAGTGATGGATTTGAGGCCCCTTGGTTACCTTAAACCTGGTTTAGCCTGTCTGCTGAGATGGTTTACTGGGGTGTGTGACGGTTGTGCATGCTACAGCTTCTTGGAGTTACAGGTGAAAGTTGATTGCCAGGTAGACACCAAAGGTGGATGAGCAGCCCAGAAAAGGGTTTGCTAAGCTCTCACACCACAAGTACTAGTTCTCTTTGAACACCCCCACACATCCCTTGTAAAGGATTAAGAAGAGAGTGAGAGGGGAGAAAGTGGTGGCACATATTGTATACTTTACCCAGGAGTCTGGCTACAAAGGGAAGAGATATAGGATGATAGTGGGATGGAAGAAGTGAAGTTTTTTTTTTTTTTCTTTAGGATGGGGAGATATGGCCATGTTTGCAGGCTGTAGAGAGGGAGAGATTGAAAATAAGTGAAAGAGTAGGGATGACTGAGGGGACAATCTGTTGGAGGAGACAGAAGGAAAGGGCTATACTTGAAGAGGTAGAGAGGTTAGCCTTGGTAAAGATTGAGGACACTTCATCACACCATTACAAGGTTTTACACGGTGTTAGCAGTGTGACTGGTCAGTCATAGTCCTTATTTTGGCGGTAGAGACAGGTTACAGGTGAATTGGGGGTAAAGAGGAAGAATGTATTAGCTTTGGGGTGTTTCTCTGTAGTTTATCTCATCAGACCATCTTGGTAGGGTCCCTACTTAAACTCATCTGAACATCTAGGTGGGAGGCTCTCCCTTTTTAGATAGCATCGCACAGCCTTGAAGCTTCCATTTCTTTGATGTCTACGGTTACTATTTCTGGGGAGCTGTCTCCCCCAAACTCACAGCAATAGGTTTTGTATATTTCCTCCACACCATAAAAATGCACCTCTTGTCTTGCTCTCCTGACCAGATAATCTATGTAAAAGTGCTTTGCAAACAGTAAAGCGCTATATACCTGCTAGTCATTACTGTTGATATTGTTATTATTAATATTGTTACCTCCAGGGAGGAAGAGAAAGATTAAATTGTATCTATGATTTTCCCCTTTCTCCTGAGTCAAGAGCAAGGCTGGAGGACGCGTGCTAGGGACGGTTCCATAGCCAGGAATTCTTGGGGCCTTTCACTATTCAAGGCCTACACGCAGGCAGGAAGTGCCCCAAGCGTTTCCTAGGTGATCACTAGAGTCGCCTAGTGATGACGCCCCAGAGGCCCGTCCCTATGGTTACGTCGCACACTTTGAGCGTGGGAGGGAGCACATAGGGGCGAGGTGTGAGAGATAGCGGTTTCCTTTCCGCCCCGCCCCTAGGCCCGCCCCCTCTCCAGGTCTAGAGGGACCCGGGCCGAGAGGCGCTACCCAGCCCAGAGTCTCCTTGGGACCCCGGCTGGTCTAGGAGGTCGCGGAGCGCACGGGAGGCTCGGAGGCTGGACGGCAGCTGGAGCTGGTAAGGAGTGGGAGCGCCCGGGCCTTTCCCGGGTGGAAGACTTGTCACAGCCGCGTCCGTCCTTGTCCCTTCACTTCCTCGTGTCTTCGCCGCCCCCCCCAGCAGTGCCGCCCAGTGTCCCTCGCAGCTCCGTCCCTCCGCTCCCCGTCCGTGTGTCCGGTGTCCCCGAACTTCTCTGTCCTCGGTCCCTCGGTCCCCGCGGGGCCTGTTTCCGTGTTTCTCTGTGCTGCCCTGTGACCGTGTCCTCAGGTCATCCTGTGCTGTCCTGCCCCCAGTCCCTGCGCTGGTGACCTCCCGCGTCCAGTCGCCGTCTGTGTGTCCTTGCTTCTTTTCTCTGCCTCCCACCTTGTGTCTGTGTCCCTCTGTGCCCTTGAACTCAGCCCCGCTCCCTGTAGCTTCTCCTTTCTGTTCCCCTGCCTTGCGTGTCTCCATCCCCCTCTGGTCTCTGGTCTCATGATCCATGTGTCCCTTTGCCCCCTGGGCCCTTGCACTCTGCCCCCTGCCTCCCTCTCTGGGCCAGTCTTCCATTCTCTCGGTTCCCAGCTTCTCTATCTCTCCCTGTTTCACTGTCCATGTGTCTCTTTGCCCCTCTCCATCCCCATGCCTCACTCTTTGAAGACCTTGTGAGTCTGTTCTGTAACCTGACTTTCTGTACCTGAGTGTCCCTGGTTCTTTGCCTCCCTGTCCCTCCCATATCCATATTGTCTCCATACTTGGTGTTCTTCTGGGACCTCAGATTCCTGTATTTCCCTGGTTTCTGGCATTCTTTATCTCCCTTCCCTCTTTGTCGTCTTGTCCTTGCCTGTCTCTAAATACTCCCCTGCTTATTCTAACCCTTTGTATCTCCCTCTTCTTTCTGGATCTCAATTTCCCCATTTCTAAAATAGGGAGGTTGAACCAGATAAGGAATTCTTACCCTTTTTCTTTATGGAATTCTTTGGCCATCAGGCGAAGCTTACGGGCTCTTCAGAATAATGTTTTTAAATATTTAAAGGGAATGCTACATTTCAGGTAGACGTTAGTAACAATAAAGATGTATTTTTATTTTCATTTCATTTGAGTTCAAGGATCCCCTGAAATCTAAACAGGGTCAGTGGTGCCTAGGTTAAGAACACCTAGAGCAGAAAAATAACTTTCGAGGCCGCTTCTAACTCTAAATTTGTTGGTTCTCTTGTGATTCCTGTCCCATGTGTCCCTGTCCCCTAGTGTTCTGATCCCTTTGTGTCTCTCCGTCCCATTTCTCCCTGTGCTTCTGTCTCTGTTCTCTCTCTCTCTCTCTCTCTCTCTCTCTCTCTCTCTCTCTCTCTCTCTCTCTCTCTCTGTCTCTGTGTGTGCCCCAGATATCCAGTGCCTCCTGTGTTTGTAATTTTCTGTACTTTTCTGTTACCTTGACCTTCTGGGCTCCCAAGACCTGAGTCCCCATCTCTCTCCCTTTCTCATGAGTTCTGTCTATGGCTCTTTCCATAAAGAGAGGCAGCAAGGAGGTAGAGGAATGACTATTTAATCAGGAGACCTGTAACAAAATCTCAGCTTTAACTCTGTGGTCGTGGGCAAGCCACTGTAATTGCCTCTCAGCTTCGTCATTAGTAAAATGGAGGTAATGATACTTAAACTTAACAAGACTGTGGGGGAAATGCCTTGTAACACTTTAATCACTATAGAAATAGGAGTATCATCATCATTAATAAAAATAATAATAATTATTTATAAATCACTACAATTTATATGACTGATCTGTAGGCTAGTTGCCATTACCATTCCCTGGGTTGCCTCATATTACTTGTTTTGCCTGGATTCTCAGCTGGTAAAAGAGCATATAACTCTTGCCAAAAGATGGGCATATACAATTATAGAAGATTGAAAGAGACCTAACAACTAGTATAATTCTTCCATTTTATAGATAAGGCATGAAAGGTGATCTTGATTATAACAAAAGACTAAATCATGAGAAGTATAGAAAGCATGATAATAAGCTACAACAGGAGTCATCCTTTAAAGCTAATCTATGAGGGAGATAAGAATAAGTAGTTTTTCACTTACTGTAGTAAGTAAAGATCACCTAGTACTCGGGGGACTTGAATCTTCAGGCAGCCAAAAACTCCATAAGCTGGAAGTCATCTGTGGAAACTGAAGATGTTGAGGATGAAAGATAGATCCTGGAGAAGTCATTTTGAAGGATTTGAGTAAAATAAAGATGTGGAACTTGTAGTGGCTGACCTGCTTAGATTCATAACTAATGTACTTATGTAATATTGTATATTGTAGCTATTTGTGTTGGTGTTGTATTCCTTTGCTAGACCACATACTTCATCAGAGTTTTAGGTCAGACCACATTAGATCTAAACTTTGTGTTTCCACTAGTTCTAGGACAGGTCTCTCTGCTCATAGCAGGTTTTTTTTTTTAAATAATATTTTATTTTTCCCCAATTACATATAAAAACAACTTTTAACATTCTTTTAAAAAAAGTTTTGACTTCCAAATTCTATCCTTCCCTCCCTCCCTGAGAAGGTAAGCAATCTAATATAGGTTATACATGTACAATCATGTAAAACATTTCTATATTAGTTATTTTGTGCAAGAAAACTCAAACAAAAAAAAAAGAAAGTAAAAATTAGTATACTTCGGTCTGTATTCAGACGACATCAGTTCTTTCTCTGGAGGCGGATAGCATTTTTCATCGTGGGTCTTTTGTGATTGTCTTGGATCCTTGGGCAGATGTGTAGGGGATGAGGCAGAGGAGAGACAGATTGAAGGCAGGAAGGCTTTGGGGAATCATTACAATATTCCAAGTGAGAAGAGGGAAGGAACAGGAGCTTGCATTGTGGTGGTGGCAGCAGGAAGTAATAGATGAGACTGACACTGCAGAGGTGAAACTGATGAGACACAGCTGAGGGAGAGAGAAGTGCCACCACAGTCTGATCTGTGCAACTTGGAGGGTGGTGTCACTGACAGCAGAAACAGAGCAGTTAGGGTCCTGAGAACCGTTATCTTGTCTCGCTTGTACAAGTCTCAATATTTCCCTGTGTGTGTGTGTGTGTGTGAGAGAGAGAGAGATTTTTCCTTCCTGTCGATGGTAAGTGACTTGAGAATAGAAACTGTCATGCTTATATTCACATCTTAGTGCTGAGCATGTAATAGATGCTCAATAAATATTTATTGAATTTGTTGAATTCTGTTGTAAAACTTTTACAAAGCATATCATTGCTTCCTCTCTTCTCCCATCTGTTGTATCTATCCAGATTCTTTTATACCATCTAGCATATCTATAGGAGCCTTGACAGAGGTGTGGGAAGGAATTCTTTCTTGGACCAGCTATGGAAGGAAAGCCTTGAGCCCTTTGCCTACTCAGCCTCTCCAGCTGGTACATCAGATTTCCCAGCTTGTGCTGTTCCTTTACGTTCAGTATAGTAGAGGCTACTGCTTGGCCTTTGCTATTCCTGACTAAAGAATCAGAAAGAAAAAAAAGGAACAATCCTCTAAAGTAACAGCCAGTTCTTAAATTAGTTTTATTTTTTTTAGTATCTTTTTTTTTGGAGGTAATTGAGGTTAAATGACTTGCCCAGGGTCACGCAGCTTATATGTATCTGACACCAGATTTGAACTTAGATCCTCCTGACTCTAGAGCCAGTGCTCCATCCACCGTACCACCTACCTGCTTCTTAAATTAGTTTTAGATACACAGAGTTATTGGAAATCCTGGCATAATTTTTTTAGGCTAACAAATCATATCTCTATATTTACTGAAAAATTCCACATCTGCCCAACTCATGCCACATTTGACAGCATCACAGACTCTAGGGTTGGAAGCCATCCACCCTGGCATCCCTGACAAAATGGTCATCCAGCCTTAGCCTGATGTCCTTTACTGAAGAGGAGGAACTTTCTCCCTCCCAAGGGCAGCTCATTCCTCACTTGGATAACTCGAATGGCAAGGAAGTTTTTTTCTTAAATTAAGCCTGAATTTGTCCACCTCTATCTCCTAGTTCTGCCATCTAGGGCCAGGCAGAACAAGTATAATTCCTAACATTCCTTCATGTTTGTGACTTGTGTGTCGGGGTACAGTTAAACAAATACTGAGTAAGGGCCTACAACATGCAGAATAAAATGTTAACTGCTGATGGGCATTAAAAGCTGCCTTCATGGGAGTGTTGTTTCAGGGAATGTTTTTGCTAAAGTGTCTAATAAGCTTCCCTGTTTGCTATGAACTATATAAATAAAAACCTAACAATATTAACTGATTTCTTTTGCAGAATAATTTCCAAAATGGCACCAAATTCTAAAGGAAATGATTACAATCAAAGCTCTCAGGATGCTTTGTTGCCAGATCTTCCTAAAGGACCATTATGTATATACAGAGCAAAATCATCCTTCAATTGGAAGGAATTGTTGTTATTCTTGGATGGAGAAGACATGATCATTTTAAAGGTGAGATGCTTATTTGACATTGTGTATAATGTATTAAGCACTTGATTACCTTGTCACATTGGGGTTTATGCATTTAAGGACTTGTTAGACTTTAGAGAAAGTGGACTTACTATCTTACATTTATAGAATGCTTTTTTTCTTTACAAAAACTGTGAGGAATGAGTAGTACAAGTATTACCCCCATTTTATAGATGAGGAAACTGAGACTTAGGGAGATTAAGAAGTTTAAGATTAAGAAAGGTTACCTAATGAATGAGTGGTAGAACTGAGGCTCAAACTCAGATCTTTTGACATCAACTCTAGTGTTGTTTCCACCATCCCAAAGGAGCATGACCTACTCCTTTTCTGTATGACATACTTTAGTTTCAAATCCTCTTTCCAATTTACCACAATTTGTAAATGATGGAATTTGAATTACAGAAGCAGCCTTTGTTTTCCCACTGTAAACCAACAGATCAAACCTAGAGTACCAACAACTCTCCTGCCATACCTGGGCTTGTCAGAAACTCTAGACCTGAACAAAATGAAGGTCACTAGTAGGATTCAGTTCCTTTGCCTGTGATTTTTTACTCTTTAGTACTGTTTTCTTTTCTGTTCAAGAAAAGAATCTTCTCAGCCTTTGAAAATGATCCCCTCTTTGCTCATCACCCTGGAGAAGAATTGTCTATTGAGAAGTATCGTGAGCTAAACTTTCTGCGCTGTAGAAGACTTTTTGAATACGACTTTTTTAGTATACAAGAGATGATGAAGAATCCACTGAAAATTTTTATGCTGATTAACTGCCTAGGGATGTATGATTGGTCCTTATCTGTCAAATACTTTTTAAATACATATGTAAGTATACTTTATTTTCTTTTTAAAGGGGAGAATAATAACATAAGCTTTTCCATTTCAAAGAATCATGAAGACCTACTCTGCTAATGGTCCTAAAATAAAATGTCTAAAAGAATTGAAAGATATTTTAACATTTAAGCTTTTTTCTTAAATGAAAAAGAAACCTGTCTTGTAGAGTTAAAAGCACTACCTTTGCTTTTTATGGCCACTTGCTTAGATTCTTATGGGAATATATTATGAATACCTTTTGTTCAAGAGGAATTTTTTTTTTTAATATGGGAAACTGTAAAAGAGACTGGGAGGTGGAATTGGTAAGTATGAGCAGAGTTGGTGCTTTTGACAGGAAAGCCATTTATCCTACTCCTAATATATGCAATACTGTACAAATACATTATTAAATTTGTATATACAGACACATGAATTACAGTTTGATGATGATGATGATGATGATGATGATGATGATGATGATGATGATG